AGTCCCGCATCGGGCTCCCCGCTCAGTGGGGAGTCTGCTTCTCCCTCTGACCCTCTTCCCTCTCGTGCTCTCTATCTCTCATTCTCTCTCTCTCTCTCTCTCTCAAATAAATAAATAAAATTAAAAAAAAAAAAAAAAGAACACACATTGTATAAGCAGTTTGCAGCAAACGTCCTTAAAGGTGATGTACCCTTCACTCCCTGTTTCAGTCTGCTTACTGGCTGCAATGTAGATTAAATTTCTAGTGTGAAATATAGCAGATAGGAAGACTGAAGGAGTCTAAGTCTCCAAGTCTTATTGAATGCTATGCCAGATTTGTACAACCTTGTGAACTAAAAAAAAGACTTCTGGAATATGATGGAGAAACAAACTTCTACCTTGTTTACTCTTACCTGGAGTATTTTTGTTATTTGCAGGCAACCTTAACCTAAGTACTCCCCCTTTCTGCCATTGAGCAGCAAGATTTGTGGTTTTATTAATATAAACAGACGAGTATCCTCTCTTTATACCACAGAATTTTATGAGCTGGTCCCTCCTGCTTCAACCAGTGAATAATAAAAGGATTTAGAAAAAAATTCTCTCAAGATAAAAATTCAGCCTGCAAGCCTACTGACATGCGTAATACTATTTTGCTTTCCAAAGCTGAATATCATGTAGATTTTTCTTTTTGTGTCCTTTCCATCTCAAATTTCCCAGTTCAGCCAGCTAGATCAACGCCTCTGCTAATGAGAGCAAATACTGCATTTTGAGAAAAGCAAAAGAGAAGGACACTGTGATGGTTTTCCAAGTTAATCCCTTTGAGTTACCAGAAGGAAGAGTTAAGTCTTGTTCCTCTGCATTCCTTAAGCCATTTCCTAACCACATAGCCACCAAAGCTCACCTTTTAAAAAATGGCAGATAAGGAGTGCCTGAGTGGCTCAGTTTGTTAACCATCTGCTTTCCAGGGGCGCCTGGGTGGCTCAGTCGTTAAGCGTCTGCCTTCGGCTCAGGTCATGGTCCCAGGGTCCTGGGATCGAGCTCCTCATTGGGCTCCCTGATCTGTGGGAAGCCTGTTTCTCCCTCTCCCACTCCCCCTGCTTGTGTTCCCTCTCTCGCTGTGTCTCTCTCTGTCAAAAAATAAAAAAAGCATCTGCTTTCAGCTCAGGTCATGATCCCGGGGTCCTGGGGTCAAGCCCCAAGTAGGGCTCCCTGCTCAGCGGGGAGTCTGCTTCTCCCTCTGCCCCTTCCCCTGCTAGTCCTCTCTCTCTCATATAAATAAATAAAATCTTTAAAAAAAAAAAAAACCACCTTAAAAATGACAGACAAGTTCATAGAGACAGAAAGTAAATTTGAGGTTACCAGGAATGGGAGGAAGGGGGAATGGGAGGTTTTGACTTAGTGGGTACAGGGTGTCTGGCTGCAGTAAAAGACAAATTTTGGAAATAGCAGTGATGGTTACACAACACTGTGAATGTAATGTCACTGAATTGTACACTTAAAATTGGCTAAAACGATATATTTTATGTTATATATATTTTACCACAGTGAAAATAAATAAAATGCCAGAGAAAAATGTCTATTAAGGGAATAAAGGGAATGATGCCCACCCTTAATAATCTGCCTCTTCTTACACCTACATTTTATTCTATTTTGATTTTTTTTAAAGATTCATTTATTTATTTGAGAGAGAGAGCACAAGTGGGAGAGGCAGAGGGAGAAGGAGAGAGAATCTCAAGCAGACTTCACGCTGGGCTTGGAGCCCGACACGGGGCTTGATCTTACCACCCCGAGATCATGACCTGAGCCAAAGGCAGATGCCCAACAACTGAGCCACCCAGGCGCCCCACAAGAAAATTTCTTAAGGCACGGCTCTCCCTTGGGATAGCTAAGATAACACAAAGCTGTGGGATTTGTTGTCCATGTGAGCTCAGAAGGCCATGAAGGAACAAGGTGTGGGGCAACCAGATGTCTGTGTGTGGATGGCCCCAAAGGTGTGCTCTCTCAGCATCTCAGTCAGAAGTCTCTCATCATTATACACATTAACATGTGTTAAAAGATATACAGGCATATTAAAAATGTTGAGATTATTTGAGCAAAATCGATTCAAATCGGGCAGCATCCAATCTAGCAGACAGAACAGCACTTCAAGGAGCTGTACAAAATCAAAGACTTCTATAGACAGGAGGGAGCAGACAGGAGGAAGTTATGCTGGGCAAAAGAGCTGGTTGGTTATCACAAGATTACTTTCCTTTAGTGGATGGCTGGGTCCTCTCAGGCATAGGACCTATAAATAGTGCTGATTTGGTTGATTCCTGACTGACTGGTTTAGGAGTCCATTTCTGAATGAGTGAAACTGTGATTCAGTCTTGGATTAGTGATGTAGGATTTAGCCTAAATGAATCCATTTTGGACCTATTATCTTTTTTTTTTTTTGGACCTATTGTCTTATTTTTAACTACGTATTTTCCTCATTTAAGGTCCCATATTGCTACTGATGAGTATTTCCCTTTAAATTTTTTAAAATTAGTGTTTATTTATTTATTTATTTAAGTAATCTCTATACATCCAATGTGGGGCTCAAACGCAGCACCCCAACGAGATCAAGAGTTGCATGTTCTACTGGCTAAGCCAATCAGGAACCTCCCTCTTTTAGTGGGTCATGTTTTCTTGACTCTTTCTACACAGATATATAGGAAGTTCTTAATTTACAAACAAGTGAAAAACATTCACATGGTAATTTCAGCCTCCCGTTGCCAATAAATTCTGAAAAACAATGGCGCTTTTGGTGAAAATGTGTGAATGTGAAGGAAGGAAAGATTGCCCAGGTCAAGATGAGCCTAGGCTGGCTGACTCTAAGGACAATCTTGCTGGCTTACATGTCTATAGGCCAGTTTCTCCCTTTCCTCATCTCCCAATCTTTCTACATATTGCCTAAAATTTCACCATCTACAGTTTGTTTTGATTAATAAAATTCAAATGCACCTGAGAGAGAATTCAAGTAAACTCTTTAAGGCTCATGGGGGCATGGGATGCCTCGCTGGCTCAGTTGGTAGAGCGTGTGACTCCTGATCTTGGAGTTGTGAGTTTGAGCCCCATGTTGAATGTGGAGATTACTTAAAAATAAAAAATCTTAAAAAAAAAAAAGGACATGGGAGCATGACATAAAGGACATAGAAGCCAAATCTGAGGCAATTTACATATCAAAAGGAATAATGACTGCAACTGATTATAAAATATTTAATAAATAAAAAACCCATGGCAATGTGATTATAGAAGAGAACGTCCTTATTTTTAGGTTATGCAGGCTAAAGTATTAGGGGAAAAGTGTCATGATGTTTGCAATGTATTTCCATACAGAAACAAAAAAATACATGGCAAATAATCATCAATTGTTGAATCTAATTGGTATAGATATAAAGGTGATTTTTGTACAGTTCTTTCCATTTTTCTGTATTTTTTTTAATTTCTATAATAAAAATGGGGAAAAAAGTAGCCCTGAGAGAATTAAAGGTCTGTCAGTCAATTTGGATGTTAATCTCATTTTTTCAATCAGGTTACTTTCTTCCAAACAATAGCTGAGACCAACTGTACTGACAGCAACCCCCACCCAAATTTTTCTTCACAGTCTTATACTTGATACTATTTTCATTCAGTGTGTACACTGATATTTCTCATCCACAAAGAAGCCAGGTTGGTACATGATGTTAAAATTAATAAAAGTAAGTCAAAATTAGGGTGATGGGAACAGTAGTGGTGCTGGTGGTAGAAAACTGAAGTTGAGAAATTAAGATAAAACTGAGGGCTGGCTGCGGAGAGCTACCAAGATACCACAGTAAGAAATGCCGCATCGAGATGGTTACACAAAGTACTCCCAGTTGGAGGGAAGTAATCCTGAGCTGGGGAAACTGTCCACCAAAATTAAGTCAATCCCCCTTTCTAGGACTTCCATCTCCTTCCTCTTACTTCATCTGCCTGGTTCCCTACTAATAATGTGGGAAACAAAGGCAGAAGGAAATGTAGATAAAATTAAATGTTTGGTTTTTTTTTTTTAAGATTTTACTTACTTGACAGAAAGAGACACAGCGAGAGAAGGAACCCAAGCAGGGGGAGTGGGAGAGGGAGAAGCAGGCTTCCCGCTGAGCAGGGAGCCCGATGCGGGGCTTGATCCTAGGACCCTGGGACCATGACCTGAGCCGAAGGCAAACACTTAACAACTGAGCCACCCAGGTGCCCCAAAACTAAATGTTCTTATAACCTGCAGCCCATGGACAAATACTTGAGGCAGGCAGAATATAATGTTCCTCCAAGAAGCTCCCAACTGTCTTAATGTTAATGCCTTGCTAGAGGGAAAAACAACCTTGGCTTGACAATAATAGCAAGGCCTCAGGCTTCAGGAGTCTTCTTTTAGCATATGAAAATCCTTTTGGTACTTCCCCCATCTTTACTTCCTCCCCACCCAAAGTATAGTAATCAGTTGCTCCCCACAATCCTGGGGCAGCCGGGAGCAGGGGTGGAAGCAGCAGCTCATTCTGCCCACGGGTCCTGTCCCCTTGCTTAAAAAAACCACCATTTTGGGGGCACCTGGGTGGCTCAGTCATTAAGCATCTGATTTCGGCTCAGGTTATGGTCCCAGGGTCCTGGGCTCAAGCCCTGAGTCAGACTCCCTGCTTTGTGGGAAGCCTGCTTCTCCCTCTCCCACTCCCCCTGCTGTGTTTCTTCTCTTGCTTTGTCTCTCTCTGTCAAATAAATAAAATCTTTAAAAACAAAACAAACCAAAAAAACGCCATTTTGCACCAAAGATGTCTCAAGAATCCTTTCTTGGCCGTCTGTCTGCTCCCAGACCCCACCAAATCTCACCTATATTCAAAAACTACATCACTGGTGCTCGCTTCGGCAACACATATACAAAAACTACATCACTGGATGTGAGGGCGATCTGGCTGCGACATCTGTCACCCCATTGACCGCCAGCGTTGATTCAGCCGATCTGGCTGGCTAGACGGGTGTCCCCTTCCACCCTCACAGCTCCATGTGCGTCCCTCCCAAAGCTGCGCGCTCGGTCGAAGAGGACAACCTTCCCCAATAGAGGAAAGGACTGTTCTTCGGTCAAGGGTATACGAGTAGCTGCGCTCCCCTGCTAGAACCTCCAAAGAAGCTCTCAAAAACTACATCACTAACACCTGGCTCTTATTTCATGCTCAATTCATCTCAGACTCATTCAAAAGTCTGTCCTTGGCTCTGAGGATTGGAGTTGACAGTTTACCCTCAACTTCACCAGTTCTGAGTCCCTCTAGCCCCAGTCATTTCAGTTCTACCTACCATGCACGCTGGGTGGGATTTGAACTGCATTGGTCAGAGATTAATACAAACACTCTACTGGGTTTTTGTCTCCTTTGAGGACCTGAGGCTTTCCAAATCCCTCCCATCTAGTGAAATACCAAGTAGGCCCTGTGTTGTGTTGTAGGTACACTCGTGCAGGTTATCTCAGTTAACTCTTTAAAGAATATATCACTATTTCCACAGCTACTATTAGAAGCTGGCTCTGCTGACTCAAAAGTTTACCTTTCATCTTCTTTCAACTACCTAGCATCAACTCCGACAAAAAGTCATCTTATTTTCTCCATATATTTTTATCTCTAGCCCAGATGTTTTCTCACTTCCCTATGTTAATTTAAAATGCACCGAAGACATCTCAGTCTTTCTTGGCCATCCGCTCCGGACCCCACCAAAGTTCACCTATATTCAAAAACTTTATCACTAACACCTGGCTCGTTTCTAGCACAGTTTCCTTCTCGACTCCAGTCCTACTGTCATCAGGGATAAATCCAGTGTCCATGTTTAACTAACCTAACATTCTGGTTTCACATTTCCCTGACTCTAACATTTGGCTCCCATTTGGACAATCACAAAGACTTGAAAGACAATCAAGAGCCAGGGCAGGGAACGATAAAGTTCATCTCCTATACAAGACTATTCCCTCAAGACTGGGAGAGGTGACAGAGACTTAAGGAAAATGAAGAAACAGGTAGCCTGGGTGGCTCAGTTGGTTAAGCATCTGCCTTCAGCTCAGGTCATGATCCCGGGGTCCAGGGATCGAGTCCCACATGGGGCTCTCTGCTCAGTGGGGGGCCTGCTTCTCCCTCTCCCTCTGCCCCTCCCCCCACTTATGCTTGCTCTCTTTCTCTCTCACACACACTCAATAAATAAAATCTTGGGAAAGAAAATGAAGAAACAGAGAAATGTGTTCCCCCCCCCAAAAAAAGAGAACAAGATAAAACCCCAGAAACAGACCTTAATGAACAAAGATAAATGCTTTACCTGATTGAGTTCAGAGCAATCCTGTAAAAATTGAAGCCTCAAAACTATCCAATGGTTTCTCCTATCACAGTAAAAACCAAAATTCTTACAATGTCCTACAAGTTCTGCATGATTACATCTCTTATTATCTCTGATCTCACTCTAGTTCTCTACCCCGTCACTCATTCTACTACCAAATGAACTTCCCCGCTCAAATACTCCCGACAAGACCCAACTTCAGGATGTTAAAAAGAAAGCCACAGGCCCAAGATGGAGTCACTTGCCCCACTACAGTAAATCAAGACTTAATTGCAGTTTCAAAACTTCTCCAGGAGTGGAATCTTAAGCCAAAATCTGGAATTTTCTGGTAGGCACCACCAAGGTAATAATCTGTCACTCAGGCCCTTTCCAACCGCCCTAAAGGAAGATGAGGTAAACTACCTAATAAGACATCTTTCCCTGAATTCCTCCTAGGGAAAGGACCTTGCCTGAAACAATCCTTTCCTTTTGCTAATAACTTTTTTTTAAAGATTTTATTTATTTATTTGACAGAGAGACAGACAGCGAGAGAGGGAACACAAGCAGGGGGAGTGGGAGAGGGAGAAGCAGGCTTCCAGTTGAGCAGGAAGCCCGATGTGGGACTTGATCCCAGGACCCCGGGATCATGACCTGAGCCGAAGGCAGACACCTAACGATTGAGCCACCCAGGCGCCCCTGCTAATAACTTCTTGCCCTACACTTCTTTCTATAAAAGCCTTCCATTTTGTACAACTCACAGGAGGCCCCTCTACTTGCTAGGTGGGATGCTCCCTAATTCACGAATTGCTTAATAAAGCCAATTCGACCTTTAAAATTTACTCAGTTGAATTTTGCTTTTTTTTTTTTTAAGATTTTTTATTTATTTATTTGAGAGAGAGAACATGAGAGGGAAGAGGGTCAGAGGGAGAAGCAGACTCCCTGCTGAGCAGGGAGCCCGATGCGGGACTCCATCCCGGGACTCCAGGATCATGACCTGAGCCGAAGGCAGTTGCTTAACCAACTGAGCCACCCAGGCGCCCTGAATTTTGCTTTTTAACAAGGGTCTCTGCACTTGCTATTTTCTATTCCTATATAATTTATTTAGTTTATTGTCTGCCTCCCACAGTTTGTATGTAAGCTCCATGAATGTTGTCTTTTATCTTTTTTTTTCCTGTGATGTATCCCTTGCATCTAAAACATTTTCAGGCACATGGCTTGTGCTCAATAAATATTTGTTGAGTGAATAAATGAATCAATGAATGATAAGTCACTTGCCCGATCTTGAACCAATTACTATAGCTTAGAGGTGCCACCAGCAAGACCCCCAACAACCCTCTTCTTTACAAGAATGTTAACCTTATCTTTTAGAGGCAAACAACAGGAAGAGCTCCTGCTGGCCTAGACCAGTTTGAACTCAACCACTGACTCACACCTCCACAAATGGACCTCTGCAGGTGGGCCCTGGAGTGTTGGACAGTTACCTCTACATAATTATGTTAAAATCTCCACCCAAGGAGGAGTACAAACGACGTTAACATAACATACAATGCATGTATAGGCATGTTTCCTAAATATGCATGCATGACCTTATCACTTCTACATATGATGATAAAACTCCCCTTTCTGAATATTTACCCTAACCCTAAATAAAAAGAACCCACTCACCCCTGCTTGGGGAGTCACAGCTTTGGAAGTTATTTCCTGTGATCTCCTTATTTGCTGCAAATAAAGTTCCCTTTGTGTGATAATTCCATTTGGTGTAGTCCTTTATTTGTAACTCACCAAGGAGCAAACTCCTGCAGTTACAAAGGGATGCAATGTTCCAACTGACCAGGCCTAAGTCAGATGGGGCTTCTGTGGTCAGGGGTCCCATCAGCTAGCTCCACCTGAACCCTATAGTCTAAGAATGAGAAGTGGGTAGTTCCATAAGAAAATCAGAGTGTGATTACTAGAAGGAAACTAGATGCTAGACAGGTGAAATCACAGATATCCAGTCCACAAGATGTGACAAGGGAAGCACAGGGAAGTCATTTGTTTTTGTTTTTAACATTTTATTTATTTATTTTTAAAGATTTTATTTATTTATTTATTTGAGAGAGAGAGAGAGCACATGAGGGGGGGAGGGTTAGAGGGAGAAGCAGACTCCCTGCTGAGCAGGGAGCCCGATGTGGGACTCGATCCAGGGACTCCAGGATCATGACTTGAGCTGAAGGCAGTTGCCCAACCAACTGAGCCACCCAGGCGCCCCAGGGAAGTCATTTGTAAAAGACTTATTACAAAGATTTTTAGCCTTTTCAAACTTCCAAGCTGGGACCTGTCTGAGAGAGCACAATCAGCGTGCATTCATCAATACTTCTAGTATCAAATTACCTCATCCTTTAAATCACCCACCTGCGGGGTATGTGTTGTGTGTGTTGCGGAGGAGAGTGTTGTGATCTATCCCATCATTTCAACACACTTATCAGAACTGACCACTACTTTACCTCCTGGGAAGCATGTATAGATCCCCGAGGATTCTCAGTGTTACAAATCTCATGGAAACAGAGGGAGAAGGAAATGGAGGAAAGGATCCAGAGGGGAGCAGAGAGAACAGTGAAGGGGAGAATCAATGTCCTTAATAAAGACAAGGTAGGGGAACACCAAAAAGGAGGGATAGGCAGTATTGTCAATCCCCGGGTTAGGGAGGTATGCTATGGATTGAATATTTGTGTTGCCCCAAAATTCATGTTGGAACCCTAATCCCCAATATGTTGGTACTTGGAGATGAGGCCTTTAGGAGACAAGTCATTAAGGTGGAGTCCTCATGATGGGATTAGTGTCCTTATAAAGAAGAAACACAAGAGCGAGTTTTCTGTCTTTCTCTCTCTCTTCCATATAAGGACACAGCAAGAAGGAAGCCATCTGCAGTGAGGAAGAGGGCTCTCACAAGAACCCAACTATACTGGCACCCTTGATAGACTTCCCAGTCAAAAACTGTAACAAAATAAATGTTTTTAAATTTACCCAATCTGTGGTATTTTGTTAAAGCAGCTTGAACTAAGTCAAAGGGTTAACACCGAGAATAGAAAAATTAATTTGATGATTAGATAATCATTTATGACTTGAAGAAAGAATTTACAAAGCCTGAGGCACAAACTAGATTATGAACACTTAAGCAATGAGTGGCTGATGAGGAAGTGTAAATACATCACAAAATGAAAAGTGAACAAATTGCTTAAGAGATTAAGAGCCTACTCTAGACAGAGCACTACAGCTAGGCACCAGGGTCAGCCTCATGGGTGTATGACAGGACATTCCACACAGGGTGCTAGGCTCTGGAGAGTCCTGGTTTGGCTTGATGCTCTGATGTCACAGTCTTGAAATTCTTACTAATTTTTGAACAAGGGGCCCTGCATTTTCATTTTGCACTAGGCCCACAAATTATGCAATAGGTACTCATGAAGGGGACCCAAAATATTTCATTCATTGTTCATTCACTTATTTATTTTTAAAGATTTTTTAAAAAATTTATTTGACAGAGAAAGAGAGCGAGCACAAGCAGGGGGAGCGGCAGGCAGTGGGAGAGGTTAGAAGCAGGCTCCCCACTGGGCAGGGAGCCAGATGTGGGGCTCAATCCCAGGACCCTGAGATCATGGCCTGAGACAAAAGCAGATGCCAGACAGCCATCTGGGCACCCTTCATTCACTTTTTTATTCAACAACAAATGAATTGCCTACTGTGAGTTACCCACTCTTGTAGTTTTTGGAGACATGATGAAAGAGGTAGTGAATGTGACAGATACACGACAGAAAATCTTTTAAGAAAAGGTTGTTACTGGGGCACCTGGGTGGCTCAGTCGTTAAGCATCTGCCTTTGGCTCAGGTCATGATCCCAGGTCCTGGAATCGAGCCCCATATCGGGCTCCCTGCTCAGCGGGAAGCCTGCTTCTCCCTCTCCCACTGCCCCTGCTTGTGTTCCCTCTCTCGCTGTCTCTCTCTGTCAAATAAATAAAATCTTTAAAAAAATAAAAAAGAAAAGGTTGTTACTTTCAAGAATATTAAAATGCACAAACACCTATGACATAACATTCCACCTCAACTCCTCAGCTGTAGGGCCTATATGACCCTGATCAATTTATTCAACTTCCTAAGCCCTAGTTTACTCACCTAAAAAATGGCGATAATAGGACCTATTCCTAAGGTTGTTAAGCAAATTAAATGAGATCAGGAATAGAAGGTGCTTACAACAGTGCCTGGTATATGGTGCATGTTCAAAAATGTGACTATAGGGGCGCCTGGGTGGCTCAGTTGGTTAAGCCTCTGCCTTTAGTCAGATCCTAATCTCAGGGTCCTGGGATGAGGCCCCTGCCTCTGACAGTTAAGATCCGAGTCTGCTTCTCTCACTCCCTCTGCCCCTCCCCCCCTTGCACATGTGCAAGCATGTGCACACAATCTCTCTCTAATAAATAAATAAAATCTTTTAAAAAAATGTGACTAAAATGAATTTCCAGTACTTAGCAGTGCCTGGCACATAGAGTTCAATAAATGACTAGCTTATTAAGTGGGGGTAAAATGAAAACTTCAGATCAATCTGGACAGTTTGATATATTTTTGTATAAATGAAAGTTATGGTTACATATATATATTCATATATTTATTTATTTCAGAGAGAGCACACGCACACACACGAGCAAGGGGAGGGGTAGAAGAAGAAGGAGAAGCAGACTCCTGCTGAGCAGGGAGCCCCAAGTGGGGCTCTATCCTAGGACCCTGAGACTGTGACCTGAGCTGAAGGCAGGCATTTAACTGACTGAGGCACCTGGGCGCCCCATATACAGTCATGTATTTTTAATGTATTCATTAGGTCTAGAAGAAAACATAAGTGGAATTTTGTTTTGTTTTACTTTATATACTCCTTATTTAAAAACCAAGATTTGGGCGCCTGGGTGGCTCAGCTGGTTAAGCGACTGCCTTCGGCTCAGGTCATGATCCTGGAGTCACTGGATCGAGTCCCGCATCGGGCTCCCTGCTCGGCAGTGAGTCTGCTTCTCCCTCTGACCCTCCCTCCTCTCATGTGCTCTCTCTCTCAAATAAATAAATAAAATCTTTAAAAAATAAATAAATAAATAAATAAATAAATAAAAATTTAAAAAAATAAAAACCAAGATTAAAAAAAAACAAGAATTTAGGGGTGCCTGGGTGGCTCAGTCATTAAGCGTCTGCCTTCAGTTCAGGTCATGATCCTAGGGTCCTGGGATCGAGTCCCGCATCGGGCTCCCTGCTTGGCAGGGGGCCTGCTTCTCCCTCTCCCAATCCCCCCCCACCCCCGCTTGTGTTCCCTCTCTCGCTGTGTCTGTCAAATAAATAAATAAAATCAATTAAAAAAAAAAACCCAAGATTTTAGGAAAATAAAACTATTATTATATTCTGAATATAGTGGTGGGTAACAAAGCTTATAGTATATTACGATTCCTCCTTTCTAAGAATAACCTTCCTCTTCCAAAATATTTTTTTTAAAGATTTTATTTATTTATTTGACAGAGAGAGAGAGAGAGAGAGAGAGAGAGAGAGAGAGAGAGAGACACAGCGAGGGAGGGAACACAAGAAGGGGGAGCGGGAGAGGGAGAAGCAGGCTTCTCACGGAGCAGGGAGCCCGGTGCGGGGCTCGATCCCAGGACCCTGAGATCATGACCTGAGCCGAAGGCAGACGCTTAACAACTGAGCCACCCAGGCGCCCCTCCAAAATATTTTCAATCCATTTCCATTCTCTTTTCGTTCTGACTCTGCCATAATTTGCTATTCATCTTAGAAAAAATTAACTCTTTGATTTGCAGAACAACTTCCTTGTTCATAAAATGAGGCACACAATCTAGGTAGTGCTTCACAACTACTGAACTTTGGCATGCTGGTGTCCTGAATGTGGATTAAGGAACTGACCTCTCCTGCAATGGGGCAGTTGAGAGGGGTCAGGGAGAGCCAGAGCTCCCTGGGCCAGTAGCTCTGGCCATGAGCCACCTTGTTTAGGTCTCCTTAGAGCAGCCTGTGTAGAGCAGTTTGGGATGTACGCCAAAGCAGCAGCAAGCACTGTGGACAATAACCAGCAGTTACAGTCCTGCTGAGTATGCATGGCCAAGGAGATGCCTATCGCATGGGCATCCATATGCAAAGCACTTCACTGCCCATAATGGACCAGAGAGATGTTGGAGCCAATGCTCAAGCTTGTGATCCAGATATCCAAGGGGCAGAGCACACAGTCTCAAGGGCAGTCTGTTAGAGGGTGAAAAAGGAGCCTGGGCAGAGTTGGGTTTCCGGTGGGTTCAACTCCAGGCAATGCCCTTAATATTTTTCTTAACATATAGTGGCTGTTTCTACCCTTTGTAGCAATGCACTCTTTTTTTGGTGCCCAGGCTAGCTGTTGACAATGCATGCATGTTCTGAAAGCTAGAGTTTCAGTGTGGAAATCCAGATATAAAAATACACTACTGGGTTCCAAATCCATTTGCATTATCTTATGAAATTGCAATATTACATCTGTCAATAAAAGAAAAGGAAGAGTTATTCTTTACATATAACTGTAAATTCTGAATGGTTGTATAATACGGTTTTAAATATTTTATCACCCACTTATGTGATCAGAGTCCCTCACTGATAATTACTATTTGGAATATGAAAAGTTTATCATTAAAAAGTTTAGATCGGGGCACCTGGGTGGCTCAGTTGGTTGAGGTTCTGCCTTTGGCTTGGGTGGTGATCCCAGGGTCCCAGGTCAAGCCCCACATCGGGCTCCCTGCTCATCAGGGCGCCTGCTTCTCCTTCTGCCTCTCCCCCCCATCACCCCCCCCTTGTACTCTCTCTCCCACTCTCTCTCTCTCAAATAGATAAATAAAATCTTAAAGAAAAAATTTTAGATCAGAAACTGCATAAAGTCACTTCAACCATAAAACCTAGTATCAAAATATATTCACAGAAACAAGTTCCAAGTTGATCATTAAAAAATGTGGAAAAATTTGATTTATTCAAATGCAATTTTTAATATCTTCTCTAACACATTCTAATTTATTTTATCATTATATAAAGACAATGCTATGAATTTTTTTTTACCATCGTTTAGATGCTTCCAAATCTTGTTTATGTAACCTAGTGTGCTGTGCAAAAATTATCATTTTCTGTATGTGCTGTGATATGAAAGAAGTTGAGAGGCCCTGATATTATTTATAAAGTGTGTCTGCCACTTCATCTCACCCTAGGACCCTTGTCCCCTGCCTCCCACCCTATATACTCTTTCTCTCTTACATTTTTTTTTTTAAGATTTTATTTATTTATTTGACAGAGAGAGAGAGACAGAGAGGAAACAAGCAGGGGGAGTGGGAGAGGGAGAAGCAGGCTCCCAGCCGAGCAGGAAGCCCGATGTGGGGCTCAATCCCAGGATCCTGGGATCATGACCTGAGCCGAAGGCAGACGCTTAATGACTGAGCCACCCAGGTGCCTCTATCTCTCACATTTCAAAGAGAGCCAGGGCTACAGGGGTAGACAGCGGCCAAGGTTCAAGTCTGTATCCAACAGGGTCAAGAACTCCAGCATGGATATTTGTATGAGATACCGTGTGGCTGCAGGGCTGGAGGGCAAGCTTAGACAAAAGCATAAAAAATAGCTAATGTCTAAAAATCACAGAGTCTGGATGAACAACAACCCTGGACAAATCCAAAGAGAGGAATCTACATTTACTGAAGGACAAAAGAGAATAAATGGACTGACATACCATGCTCCTGGATGAAGTATTTAGTAGCACATTTCCCATCGTTTCTCATATGAATGTAAGAATTTAATACAATTCAGGGACGCCTGGGTGGCTCAGTCGGTGAAGTGTCTGCCTTCCGCTCAGGTCATGATCCCAGGGTCGTGGGATGAACCTCATGGCGGGATCACTGCTCAGCGGAGAGTCTGCTGCTCCTTCTGCTCTTCTCTAATAAATAAATAAAATCTAAAAAAAAAAAAAAAGAATTTAATACAATTCAAAAAAGAAAGAATGATAGCAAATTATGATTGTTATTATTGATTAGAAATAACTTGGTTAGGAAACATCTAGACAAACATCCCCTATAGTGAAGCCAAGAGATAAGTCTTCTTGATCACCCTTGAAGCGCCTCTTAGGTACCCTGGTGTGGATACCATCTTCCTAAGGTATTTAACTTCGTGTTTTTCTAAGTACTCAGAATTGATGAAGTTATGCATGACTATTCCACAGTAATCACAGTAATCAAACTCACAAAGCCTTGATGTATAAACAAAACACTAAGGGTATACATTTTCTGAACGTCTTAACCACTACTGTTGGCTGTCAGGAGTACCTGATAAGAATACGTAATGGTTTGCTTGTGATACGGGATCATAGTAACAGGAGGAGGCTGGTTTGGAGCACTATTTCATCCACGTTATATTAAGGCCTGGTGACTGGTTTCTGCCGCAGAACAGAGTACTTCTTGTTCACGTCTCCCAAATAAAACACCTGTTCTGCTTGGCAGTGGTAGATAAATATCAACAAATTCTTATTCTTTGTGTTCCCTTTTCCAAACTCCAAACCATTCCCTATTTGTTAACACAAACTGTTTTTCAAGCAGTTTATATTTGATTTGATTTCTAATCTTTCCAAGGGAGGGCTTGATCAATTCTAAAGGAGCTGCTCTTAAGGACTGCTACATTAAAATACAGGGCGTTTCTAAGCAGGTCAGGGAGCCTTGTAAATTGTGGTCGCTTTTACCAGTATCTCTTTTTAAATATGGATCCGTAGATCATTTACAGCTCTCACAGGTGTTGGAGACCACCTAATTTCACCCCCATTTTCATTAAAAAAACTAAAGCTTAGTAAGGTCGAATGATTTAAAATTACTTGGCTCTATCAAGAAAGGATTATTAGCTCTCTGGTTTTTAACGCTTTATCTCGTTCGTTGTATTTCGAGACCGAGTTGGAAACATTAAGGGAAAAGTCACTAGCACATAGGAAGCCTATCTGGCCATCCTTTTAGAAATCTTGTAAATCATTCCTTAAATTAAATCCGCGGTAACAGCTGCTTCAGCTCTTTCCACAGTAAGCAGAAGTTAGTAAACAGTGGCGACAGATTTCTTGAGTTCGGTGAGCACTTAATGAACTGACCTCGACCAGTTCTGCCTCAGCTCATTAAGGGTGAAATTTCACTATATCAGCCGCATTTTTGAGGCCTTTCCAAGGTGCCCGTGATTCATGTAAGTCGGGGTCGCAGGAATGTTCTGTGCGGGCCCTCACAGTGGGCGTCGGAGTCACAGAAACTGGTCTCCGGCATCCGGAAACGTGTGAGGAGATGCAGAGGGGGCCAGAGGACTTTCTTGCAACCTTTAAGTACAAGAGAGAAAAGCGGGGTTTTATTCAGGTACGGGAAAGAAATGAATTCGTAAATGAACACCGGGAGGCCTACGTGGGGGAGGGGAAAGAAACGCGAGAAGAAAGAGAAAGGCTTTTTTTCCTCCGGTGACGAGCGGTCACAAGGCGTTCTCCCGACGTGGACGCTCGCCATTGGCTGAGTCCGAGCTGGCGTCACCGCAGCAGCCCGAGCGCGAACGGCGGAAAGGGCGGCACCGCACTGGAAGTTGGCGAGGCCCGCGCGCTCCCGCAGCCCGGCCCGCCCCCGCTCCTAGCCGGCCAACCCGCTCGTCCATTCTCTCTTCGCGCCCAGTTGGCCACGCCCCATTCCCAACTCGCCCCTCCCCCACCAGCTCGGCGGCGCGCGGAAAGCGCGTCACGTGATGACTAGCCCCGCCTCTTCCTCTCGGTCCCATATTGAACTCGAGTTGGAAGAGGCGAGTCCGGTCTCAAAATGGAGGTAAAACCGCCGCCCGGTCGCCCCCAGCCCGACTCCGGCCGTCGCCGCCGCCGCCGGGGGGAGGAGGTATTAGGGGGAGAGCGGGGGGTTGATGGGTAGTGGCCGGCGTGGGGGGCCTAGCTCGGTGGGAGCGGGGAGGCCGGGTGGACCGGATCGGCCGTCCCGCGCTCTGCGTTGAGACGGGCGGTGGGGGGGGGGAGGGGAGCGGGCCTCAGAGGTCTTTTGGGGCCCCTCGCCCTCCTCGCATTCTCCTTCGGCTGCAGAAGTGGCCCCTCGGAGGCGCTGCGTGGCTGGGGAGACCTCGGGAGGGGACCCGGCTTGCCGGCCGCGGGGCCTCAGATCCGAGGCCGAGGGCGGCATGGCGGGCCCCGGCGGGAGCGGTTGGGAGGAGATGGTGGGGGAGGGGACGAGGAGTCACATCCGGGCGAGCGAGCGAGCAGGCGGGCGGCGGCCACATTGACATTGATCCGCTGCCGCGTTACGAAATGGCGCATTGGGCCGCAATGGCCGCCGGCTCGCTCCGCCGCCGGGAAAGAGAGCGCGGGACTGGAAGGAAGCGGGAGGAGGCGGCCCGGCAGAAAATGCCACAAATGGCCTCGGATCTTGCGGCCTACTGCTTTCGCTGAAGTTAATGCGGCGCGTTTCTAGTCCTTTCAGATCTCTTAAGGCGACGAGAATTTAATTCTCCTGTTTTTTTCTTCGCAGTACCCAGTTGACAATACGAACTTTTTTAAAAAAAAAAAAGTTTGCTGCTTTAAAATACACCCTGATCTGCTATTCTTGCTAAAGTACTTATACGTATCTTCGCGCCATGTGGGTCGGCTCGTTGTAGTTTTTTTGGATTTTTGAGAGGACTGCAACCACAGTTAAATTTTTCATGTGTTTGAGATAATTTTATGTGGGTTGTAATTGTTTTTTTATCTGTGTTCTATCGATTAAATACAATTAACCAAGATTTGAAAAGATGAGACCAACTTTATTGATGCTTTAGGCTATTAATCATTTAACATTTTTTTCTAGCATGTGACAGTCTTTTCATATTAAATGCCTTAACATCTCTACTTTGGAAGACACGAAGACATTAGAATGTAAATGTGAGCCCCTTTATTTAAGGAATTTGGATGAACTATACTTAATGCATGCATTAAATGGCAGTTCATGTAATTTACTGAGGAGCTAGTTGAATTGCAAACAAATTCAGGCTGTATCTTAGTTTTTTAATTGTTGTGCTCCATTGTCAAAAAGTATATACTACATTTAATATAAGTGCAATTTGCCCTTTTTGTAACCCTGTAATATGTTTTTGAAATTTTTGACCTGTGATACAAGTGCAAATAGGTAACTTTACAGTATATAACCTAAAACATAAATTGGTTACAGAAAGCTATCAAGATAATGGTCGGTTTCTTTTTGTAATTTTGGGGGGGTTGCTGGTTCAGCCTTTAATGGGGAATACTGTTTTAACCTTTCTATGCTAGAAACTGATAAGTTTTTTAAAATTTGGCACTCAGAACCTTTAAGTTACATACTAAACAGTTTGGTGGTTTAACATTAAATGTTCGAAGGGTAGACTGATGAGGGAAGACATGAAAAATGGCATGGATGGAACACTACTTCTACAGCACTTTGGTTTCTTGAAGAGCAGTTTGTTAGTAGCAACTTAAAAATTTGTCCCCAGATACTTTTAGTTGTAGTCTAAAGTTAAGGGACTTTTGATTCTGGAATTTTCTGGACTTAAATGTAGTTGAAGTGATGTTGGCATTTGAAAGGCTGTATAGATTTAATCAGTTGACATGTGATCTTACTCCAGTTTTTAATTGGTCAAAGTGTTAATGGTACAGGAATTTGATGCTGGGTTTATTATTTGTAGCAGATTAAAGACTTGTGCATCTCAGCAATTGACCTGCTAAAAGAAATAATTAAAATGTATTTGTTTCCTCAGGGCCATGATCCAAAGGAACCAGAGCAGTTGAGAAAACTGTTTATTGGTGGTTTGAGCTTTGAAACTACAGATGATAGTTTAAGAGAACATTTTGAAAAATGGGGTACACTTACAGATTGTGTGGTGAGTTACTAATGGAACAAAAAAAGGTTGTTAAGGGGCGTAGGACCTGTGCAGATACATTTCAATACTTAAAATTTTTTGTTTTGTAGGTGATGAGAGACCCCCAAACAAAACGTTCCAGGGGTTTTGGTTTTGTGACTTACTCTTGTGTTGAAGAGGTGGATGCAGCAATGTGTGCCCGACCACACAAGGTTGATGGGCGTGTAGTGGAACCAAAGAGAGCTGTTTCTAGAGAGGTATTTTGATGACACTATACTGTGTAATATGTGAGATTGTTGGAGAATTTGGTTTTTGACTTTTTTTTTATTTGTAGGATTCTGTAAAGCCTGGTGCCCATCTAACAGTGAAGAAAATTTTTGTTGGTGGTATTAAAGAAGACACAGAAGAATATAATTTGAGAGACTACTTTGAAAAGTATGGCAAGATTGAAACCATAGAAGTTATGGAAGACAGGCAGAGTGGAAAAAAGAGAGGATTTGCTTTTGTAACTTTTGATGATCATGATACAGTTGATAAAATTGTTGGTAAGTAGAAATTTATTGGAACTTGAATGAGAAAACAAAAGGTCCCTTTGTGCTATGTTAGATTTGCCAAATTGCTTATTTTGTATTGCATTTAATAGCATATAAAGTATGTGGTTCAGTTTTCATAAATGACATTTTAGAACACTGATTCTCAAAGTCACTATTTTCTTGATGATGTTTTAATGTTATGTAGTGATAGAGGTTATTTGTGATTTTCCAAACCTCAAATAATTTGTTTGTTTGTTTGATTAAAAAAAATTTTTAGTTCAGAAATACCACACTATTAATGGGCATAATTGTGAAGTGAAAAAAGCCCTTTCTAAGCAAGAAATGCAGTCTGCTGGATCACAAAGAGGTGAGTAGTACAATATATATACATAAAATAGGTGTGAGTGACATTTGTAAAGTTTTTAAAGCTCTCCCTTGCCCATGTTAAAGGTCGTGGAGGTGGATCTGGCAACTTCATGGGTCGTGGAGGAAACTTTGGAGGTGGTGGTAACTTTGGCCGTGGTGGAAACTTTGGTGGAAGAGGTAAGAGGGTTATCTTTGATTGTCTTCCTGAAGTTGATTGGTAAGTTGTATAGTTTTAATTCCTATCTTGCTTTTCGTCAGGAGGCTATGGTGGCGGAGGTGGTGGCAGCAGAGGTAGTTATGGAGGAGGTGATGGTGGATATAATGGATTTGGAGGTGACGGTAAGTTTTTAACGGATGTTTGATATTTTAATTCTGTTCCTATACTTTATGGAAAGTTACATTTGTTTCTATTTTTAATTTTAGCTATACCTAGCATGACTTGACGATATTCAAATATGATTCTGAACTAATACCATGGAAGACTAGACTTACCCCCCATAAATTTGCAACATTAGCTAGTTCCTTTTTTTTTTTCTTTTTTAAGATTTTATTTATTTGACAGCGACACAGCGAGAGAGGGAACACAAGCAGGGGAGTGGGAGAGGGAGAAGCAGACTCCGGCTGAGCAGGGAGCCTGATGTGGGGCTCAATCCCAGGACCGTGGGATCATGACCTGAGCCAAAAGCGGATGCTTAATGACTGAGCCACCCAGGGGCCCCTAGCTGGTTCCTTTTTTGGTCAGAAATATTGTGCTAGCATTTGAGCTGAATTTTCTCTCAGGAGACTGTTCACTATTTTCTTTAGTGAACTTTAATTTTTTTTTTTTTTTAAAGAT